ATGCAAGCATGTATAATATTGAGATAACAACACACACACACACACACACACACACACACACACACACACACACACACACACACACACACACACGCATGCATTTGAATGTGCACCAAGGTCAAATGGAAAGACCAGACTGATGTCTGTTGGCCTTCTGTGCAGTTCTGCTGTGATTTTCTTAGTCTATGCCGACTGTTTAACATGCATGGTCATGGATTACTGTGCTGCTGATTGACTTTGTGCGCTGAGTGTTTAGCTTAGGCCTGACCGGCAGGAATATGGGGTGATTAGCTTGTCTGATATTTTCATACCTTTCTCTCCCTGTCTCTAATTACATTATGCTTTCCGAGCTCTGCTTCACTGCCAGGCCCTCTTCCCAAACAGCAACACTAATAGAGTTAGGCCTGAGCCATTGTGTTGTGTCAGAAATCCTTTAGCTCATATGGATTTTCAATACAGAGGAAGAAAAGGGAAGTTGGCTGGTATGTTGTATGTGCTGTTTCAGTTTTTCTGGTTTGCTGTGTGAAATGGGAAAAAGCGAAGGTATGCAAAATTATAGTAACAATATTGTTAATTTTCAAATAAATGTTTGTTTACGCTTTGTTTTTTAAAGTTGCATGAATCAGGGTTTCAGTAACGTCTCAAGAAAACGTGAGAAACACATAAACAAGCTCTTTCTAAGTTTCTCCTTTTTCCCTCCTGCAACTACCTCTCCATAAATCACACGCACACATCAAGGCAGCAGATGGCCTCATGCCAGCAGTATTTCTGATAGTTCCTTTTGTCTTTGAAGCTCTTTGGACCAAATTGTTCCACTGATCATAAATGTCATATCATCCTTTCTCTGCCCCCTCCCTCTCTTCATCACTTTCTCCTTCTGTGCCTTTGTTCTGTAATTGCTTGTTTGTGTAGCTGTGTGTCCGTTCATGACAGCGAGCGTATGTGTGTGTGTGTGTGGCACTGATCATATGTTTGTGGTTTTGTTTATCACTCGACTCCATATAAGTGCTTTGAATATGCCAAGTAATGTTTTAGTCACTCTTTCTCTGTCTCCTTCTGTGTTTGTCTCTCCAGAGACCTCAGTGAGAACCAGATCCAGGCAGTTCCAAGAAAGGCTTTCAGAGGAATTACCAATGTCAAGAACCTGTAAGTGGAACTGCTCGTTTTAGCTTTATCCCTCTTTTTGTCTTTTTTTAAGCTTTTAATTTCTGTATATTTCAGTATTTGTGCTATTTATTTACTTGTTTTATATTTATTGAATTTAAGAATTTTACTATAAAAATGACATGTCCCAACAYATGGCACAAAGTCAGTTTTATGATAAGAGCATGTGTATAAAACAACAAAACCTTTAGAAAATTTAAGTTCAAGTTAAGACACACAATCTACAATCGAAGCACTRTTCAAGTGTTAGAAATTGTTGCATTTTTTTTCTGAACTCTGAGATCAACACAGGTTTAGAACCTTACTCACAGCCCAACATCATGGATACTCTAAAGCAKGGGTGTCAAACTCATTTTCACCGAGGGCCACATGAGTGTTATGGTGGCCCTCGAAGGGCCACTTGTAATGAACTTTGAAGTTTCATCTTTAACTTTGACTAAACAGAGTTTTAACACTTACTCTTTTAAACACTGATAAGAACTAAGTGAATGACTGACTAAATCTGTAATAAATACAGAAATATTATTAAAAGTAAAACAAAAAGGTTTTACTCACTGATGGGTTTCTAGTGAGTASCTGCATTATGGCGGATTTAGTTTATGTTTGATGGTGACTATAAAGCAGCTTATTTTCAGACATTAGTACTGTGCTATCCAACTAAATTGCTCAGT